AAGCTCCTCCCTGCCCTGTGGTCCCACGTGCTCCTCTTGCTGCCGCTTTCCCTGTCCCCAGGTCCCTTTTCCTGTCCCCAGATCCCCTTTCCTGTCCCCAGGCTCCTTTTCCTCATCCCCAGATCCCTTTTCCTTGGCCCCAAGTCCCTTTTCCTGTCCCCAGATCCCCTTTCCTGTCCCCAGATCCCTTTTCCTGTCCCCAGATCCCTTTTCCTCATCCCCAGGCCCCTTTTCCTGTCCCCAAGTCCCTTTTCCTCATCCCCAGATCCCCTTTTCCCTGTCCCCAGATCCCTTTTCCTGTCCCCAGATCCCTTTTCCTCATCCCCAGGTCCCTTTCCCTGTCCCCAGGTCCCTTTTCCGTGTCCCGCTGCTCTCCTGCTCCCACGTTTCCCAAACCCAAAGACTCATCCCTGGTCCTGGTTCCTCTTTTCCCACTTTTTCTTGCACTGCTCCCTCTCCCGATCCAGCTTTTCTCCGTCTCTTGCTCCCAGCTTTTCCCTGTGCCCTGGTCCCACTCTTCCCTTCTCCTTGTCCCCTTCTCTCCTGCTCCCAAATCCCAAGGCTTGGCCTCATCTCCTTGTCCCCTGCTCCTGGTGCCACCTGTCCCCCTCTCCTGGTTCTTCAGGTCCCCTTTTCTTGTCCCCTTCTCCTCCAGTTCCCATTTATCCCCAAAGTCTCGTCCTTGTCCCTCTCCTGACCCCAAATGTCCCCGTCCCTTTGTTCCTTTTCTTGGTCCCTCATTTTTCCTTGTCCCACTGGTCCCTTCTCCTGGTGCCACTTGTCCCCATCTCCTGATCCAGCTTGTCCCCATCTCCTGGTTTTCAGGTCCCCTTTTCCTCCTGTTCCCATTTATCCCCAGCCCAAAGTGTCATCCTTGTCCCCTTGTCCTGATCCAGTTTTTCTCTACCTCTTGCTCCCAACTTTTCCTTGTCCCCTGGTCCCTTCTTCTGGTGCCACTCGTCCCCTTCTCCTGTTTTCTTCAGGTCCCCTTTTCTTGTCCCCTTTTCCTCCTGTTCCCATTTATCCCCAGCCCAAAATCTCGTCCTTGTCCCCTTGTCCCTTCTCCTGACCCAGTTTTTCTCTACTTTTCCTTCTCCCCTGGTCCCTCCTGCTCCCACTTTTCCCAAACCCCAAGACTCATCCTTGTCCCCTGCTCCTGGTTCTTCAGGTCCCCTTTTCTTGTCCCCACCTCCTGTTTCTTTCATTCCTCCCACAGATGGGATTTTCTCCTTCCACAAATTCCCCAAAAGTGGAAAACCAGGGAGAAAAATCCCTTTCAAGCCGGTTGCACAAACACCCCTGGGAAAGGGAACCATTTCTTTTTTCCCTGTTTTGGTCCCATTTTCCCTCTCCTGTGCCCCATTCCTGGTCCCTCCTGTCCCCTCCCTGGTCCCCAGCTCTGCTCTCCTTTTTTCTCCTCTCCTTTATTTCCCTCTCCTTTTTTCTCCCTCTTTATTTTCCTCTCCTTTTTTTCCCTCTCCTTTTTTTCCCTCTCCTTTTCCCCCCCTCTCCTTTATTTCCCTCTCTTTTATTTCCCTCTCTTTTATTTCCCTCTCCTTTTATTCCCTCTCCTTTATTTCCCTCTCCTTTTTTTCCCTCTCCTTTTTTCCCTCTCCTTTTTTCCCTCTCCTTTTTTTCCCTCTCCTTTTCCCCCTCTCCTTTATTTCCCTCTCCTTTATTTCCCTCTCCTTTTCCCCTCTCCTTTTCCCCCTCTCCTTTTCCCCCTCTCCTTTATTTCCCTCTCCTTTATTTCCCTCTCCTTTTTTCCCCTCCTTTTCCCCCTCTCCTTTTCCCCCTCTCCTCACCCCATTTTTCCCTCTCCCTCTCCCCATTCCCCTCTCCCTCTCCTGCTCGTCCCCTCTCCTCATCCCCAGAATTCCATGAGGGATTAACGCCAAAACCCCAAATTTGGAGACAAACCCAAGCCCTGCAGCCCCAAAATCAGGGATTTTCCCCCAAAGCTTTTCCCCACCTGGAACAGCCTCAGCCTCAGGGCTGGAGCTGGCACCGAATTTTTCCATTTTCCACAATTTTGGCCATGCCTGGACAACGTTTCCCACATTTCCCCGTGCCTGATTTTGGGATGATTTGTGTGGTTTTTTTCATTTCTCCCGCAGACAGGATTGTCTTCTTCCACAAACAACCCGGGAGTGGAAAACCAGGGAGAAAAATCCCTTTAAAACAGGTCACAAAACCAGGGAAATGGAACCTTTTTTTTTTCCCCAAAGCAAACATTGGGAAAAACGAGTTTACAAACGGATTTTTGGGCTTTGTTTTTATGCCCTGGTGCAGAACCTGCCTTGATTTCCCAGCCCAGCTCCCCTCACCCCTCCAGCCCGGAGCATTCCCATTCCCGAGCCGTTTTTCCAGACTTTTTTCTGGCAGCTGGACGTGGAGGGGCCTCCTCCTCCCGCTGACATTTCCCAGGCACCACGTCACGTTTGAGAGTTATTGCTGGGGAGGGGAGCCACGGGTCCAGAGGGCTTGGAAAGGGGAAAAATGGGGAAAAACGGGAAAAAATGGGGAAAAATGGGGGAAATAAATGGGGAAAAATGGGGGAAATAAATGGGGAAAAATGGGGGAAAATGGGGGAAAATAAATGGGGAAAAATGGGAAAAAAAAATCCTGCTTTTGCTTTGGGAAAACCTCGGGAGGTGTCGGTGCTGTTTTCCCAAATTTAATCAATGTGTTTTTAAAGGCTCGCTGTTGAAACGGGGTGGAAACATCTCGGGTTGCTAAAATTAAAGGGAATGAGGAGAATTTGGGATGGATTCCACAGGATTGGAGCAAACATCTCCGTCCTTTAGGGTGGGGGAGTTCCTGAGCTGCTTTTTTCCCTTAAAAATCCCATTTTAGGGGGAAAAGTCTCCAGGTGAGCAGGGAAAGGGGAGCGATGGGGGCAGAGGTGGATCCCTGGTTTTGGGTGGTGCTGGAGCTTTTGGTGGATTTTTTGGATGGAAAATACCTGGAAAAGTGGTGGGAGATGTCCGTGGTGGAGGTGGGAGCAGGAGATTTGGATCCAGGAGATTTCCCCTCCAGTCAGACCCCAAGGGATCCCCCCAGTCACATCCATTCCAGGTGATCCCACCCCAAACCCAGCCCAGCTCCCATCCCAGGGGTTCCTCATGGTCCATCCCAGGGATCTCACCCCTCCATGTGCTCCCATCCCAGGTTATCCCTACTCCAGATCCCACCCTGGATGATCCCACGTGACCCCATCCCAAATCCCACAGCAGGTGATCCCGCAGGATCCATTCCAGGTGATTCCCCATCCCAAATCCCACAGCAGGTGATCCCACAGGATCCATTCCAGGTGATTCCCTGTCCCAGATTCTGCACCAGATGATCCCCCAGATCTCATCCCAGGTTATTCCTACCCCAGGTCCTGCCTAAAATGATCTCCCAGGACCCATCCCAGGTGATCCCTATCCCAAATCCCACACTGGATGATCCCAGAGGATCCATTCCAGGTGACTCCTATCCCAGATGGTTCCCAGTCCCAATCCCAGGTGATCCCTGTCCCAAATCCCACACTGGATGATCCCAGAGGATCCATTCCAGGTGATTCCCTGTCCCAGATTCTGCACCAGATGATCTCCCAGATCCCATTCCAGGTTATTCCTACCCCAGGTCCTGGCTCAGATGATCTCCCAGGACCCATCTCAGGTGATTCCCCATCCCAAATCCCACACTGGATGAACCCCCAGTTCCCATCCCAGGTGATTCCCTATCCCAGATTGTTCCCAGTCCCAATCCCAGGTGATTCCCCATCCCAAATCCCACACTGGATGAACCCCCAGGTCCCATCCCAGGTGATTCCCTATCCCGGATGGTTCCCAGTCCCAATCCCAGCGGATCCCTATTCCTCATCCCATCCTTCAATCCCCATGCCCGGGTGCAGGGAACATCCTGACCAAGCTTTAGGGTGGAAAATTGGGATCAGGGAGAGACCAGGGACCCTCCAAATTTCCCAGGCTCCAAGTGCATCCCCTGGACCTTAATTAATTTAATTATTAACCAATACCAGATGGAATTCCACTGGTCATGGATCTGCCGGGCCGGATCCTGCAACTCCATCAGCTCCTTCTCCTCCAGAGGGACACTCTGGGGAGGAAAACCTGGATTTGGGAAGGAAAATCCCCTCCTTTTCCTGCTGAAAAACATCGGGACCATCCTGTCCATCCATGTGTCCATCCCAAGGAATCTTCCAAGGTGGGAATCAGCAATCCTGAGCACCAAACTGGGGGGAAAATGGGAGAACATGGATGAGCTTCCTCCACTGTTGATGGAGCTGCTGGGCCGGGATCCAGGCTCCCGTTCATCCTTGGGGAAAACCATCCCGGGATCAGCGGAGTGAAAAAACGCCCCGGAAATTAAACAACCCCAAAATAGAAGCAGGAAAAAAGGTCAGGCCTAAAAATACCGGGATCGGTTTGGAGTTGGATCCTGGCAGGAAATAAATAATCCAGGTTTGTGGGCAGGACTCATTTTAGCCGTTCACCACAGCAGCCCGGCGTGAGCCTGGAATTCTTTTGGCTGGATTTTTCTGGATTTAGGGATGTTGGGGCTGGGCTTTGCCCCGCTGCCATCCCAGGAGGGGAGGGAGAAGGTGCTGGCAGCGAGCGTGGGCGCGCTGGGCCCTGCCAGGACCCGCCCGGTTTTCCCGGGAAAACAACTGGGATTGCCAAAGTCCCCGGCCCCAGGGATGGGCTGAGCCGGGGCTGAAGCCGTGGCGGATCCGAAATTCCCCACAGAGCAGCTCGTTAGTGACGGAGCAGTAATTAGAGCCATTCAAATGAACTTTCTTTCCAATTCCTCTGTGGAGGGAATGATCCCATCCCAGGATTGCCCCTCATTGTGGGGAAACTGAGTCAGGGCGAGTTTGGGAAAGGTGAATCCTGCTCTGCTCGGCGTTGGGATGGGGACTGGGGATAAATCCAGTTTTTCCTAGATGGGAAGAGGGATAAATCCAGTTTTTCCTAGGTTGGGATAGGGATAAATCCAGTTTTTCCTAGGTGGGAAGAGGGATAAATCCAGTTTTTCCTAGGGTGGGAAGAGGGATAAATCCAGTTTTTCCTAGGCTGGAAGAGGGAAAAGGACTCCTGAGATCCTGGGGGTGGAGACAGATCCCAAAAGTGACGAGATTTGGGATGGGGATGGCCACATCCTGGTCTCCAGGTTTTTGGGCAGAGGGATGGAAGGGGAAGAGGATGGGGATGAGGAGGGGTTTGAACCTGACCAGGGCGATTTGAGGGAATATTTTTCAGCCGGGATCCCAAGGAGAAGCTGAATGAAGCAGCCACCAGGATGTGGGGGGACGTTTTTATTGGACTCAGGGATGTCAGGGAATTTTCAGTGGCCTCTGGAATGTCTACAGACATGAGACATCCCACGGGGACCCCACATCCATCTGCACCCCACATCTGGTGCAGACGCCGGTTGGTGACACTGGGACAAAAGAGGATTTTTCCAGCCTGGAGAAGGTGGGAGGGGATGGAGGGGCTGGGGCAGAACCACCACAACCTCTGTTCCCTATGGGGAAAAAAAAAGAAGGAAAAATTTAAAAAATAAAAACCCACAAAAATCAATTTTTCCAACCACCACCACGAGGAGGGAGAGCCGAGATCTGGGGGTTTGCCTCCCAGGGAGTTACCTGCGAGTGGAGCTGGAGCTGGCCCGCGGCGGCCGTCACTTCTCCGTCATCATCCTCACGAACTCCTCGTAGTTGACCTGCCCGTCGTTGTTGCAGTCGGCCTCCTTGATCATCTCGTCCACCTCCTCGTCCGTCAGCTTCTCGCCCAGGTTGGTCATGACGTGCCGCAGCTCCGCCGCGCTGATGTAGCCGTTCCCGTCCTTGTCGAACACGCGGAACGCCTCGCGGATCTCCTCCTCGCTGTCCGTGTCCCGCATCTTCCTGGCCATCAGCGACAGGAACTCGGCGAAGTCGATGGTGCCGCTGCCGTCGGCGTCCACCTCGCCCACCATGCCCTGCAGCTCGGCCTCGGTGGGGTTCTGGCCCAGCGAGCGCATGACGGTGCCCAGCTCCTTGGTGGTGATGCAGCCGTCGCCGTCGCGGTCGAAGAGGGAGAAAGCCTCCTTGAACTCGGCGATTTTCTCCTCCGACAGCCGCTCGGCCATGGTGCTGCCCGCGGCACGCGGCTCTGTCCCGGCACGCCGCGGCGAGGAGGAGGAGGAGGAGGAGATGGAGCCTCCTCCCTCCCTGCAGCAGCAGGAGGAGGCAGGGATGGGAATGGATCCAGAAGGTTGGGGAGCTGGGGAAGAAGAGTGACCCAACCCCCCCGGGCCACCCCGGCGCTCGTCCCGCTGCTCCCACGGTGGCATTTCACCGGGCCAGATCCCTAACTGGGGATTTGGGCTCCGTGGTTTCGGGGGGAGGCGGCAGTGGGGGTGACACACGGGATTTTCCCAGTTTTAGGGATATTTTGGAGAGGGTTGGAGCTGTACAAAGGAGTTGGAGGGTCCCCCCCCAGTCGCCCCAGGCGGTGCTGGCAGCACATCAAAGGCGCTGAGGGAGGATCCCCGTGCAGGTCCCGGCAGATCCCGGCTGGCCGGAGCTGCCGCTCCTGCTCGGAGCTGCCAGGGCCCTGAGTCACCTCCGGGCCTCCTCCAGGGCTGGATCCAGGGCGGTGACGTGGGGCTGGAGCAGGGGAGGCCTGCGGGGTCCTGTCCTGTGACTCAGGGTGCACTGAGGGATCTCCCCATTGTAAGGCTGGGTTTACTCATCTCTTACTCAGGGTGTAAAGGAGGGGATAGTGACAAATGAGGGAGTGTTTCTCCATCCGTCCATCCATGGAACCCATCCATCCATCCATGGATTCCATCCATCCATGGATTCCTTCCTTTCATATATCCATGGTCCATCCATCATCCATTCATCCATCCATCCATCCATCCATGGATTCCATCCATCATCCATTCATCCATGCATCCATCCATCCATGGAACCCATCCATCCATCCATGGATTCCATCCATCCATCCATCCATGGATTCCATCCATCCATCCATCCATCCATCCATGGATTCCATCCATCCATCCATCCATCCATCCATGGATTCCATCCATCCATCATCCATCCCTCTTTCCTCCGTGCCCACAACACTCCAGTGACCTTCACCAGCCGGATCAAGGAGCTGCTGGACGCAGAAGTTCCACAGCAGAAGACAATTTGACTTTCTCAGCTACAGGAAATCGGCACCAGTTGATCCCAGTTTAACCCAGTGAGGAATTCCTCCTATGGGATTTGGAGGGAAGGGCACAACCCAAAACCCAGCCCAGGGGACAGCTGAGGGACACCTGAGGAATGGTGGGAGAGATGTGGGAAGGGATCACCCTCCTGGGGAAAACCTCACGTGGAAAAAGCTCTGGGTGTGTGGAACGCCGCAGTTCCCGGGAGGAATTGTGGGAACCTGTCTGGTGAGAGGTTTCGGGGAGGAGGCCCTGGCAGCTCCTCCTGTGCAAGAGCTGCTCCCTAATTATCTCTGATTGCCCACACTCGCTGCTCTGCTCCGGGTTTAATCCAACCCAAAGTGGCGGGAAGAGCCCAGGGAGGCGGAGCTGGATCCACCCGGGAGAAGCAAATCCCAACAGATCTCCGGGGTCTGGAGGCCTGGGAGGGTTCAGGTGTTGGTTAAACTGTGGGAGAGGGGCTGGAGCTCACATGGGGGGATTTGGGGTCCCTGTGTCACCGGGCTGAGGGTGCAGGGCTTGTGCTGTCCGGGGTGGTGCGGATCAAAGCTGGAATCTGCTGCTTCCTTCCCATGAAATCCCCATGACTGGCATCCCAGTGGTGGCATCCATCATCTTCCATCCCATAGATCCCATCCCAGTGACTGGAATCCCATTGGTGGCATCCATCATCTTCTATCCCATAGATCCCATAGATCCCATCCCATCCCATCCCAGTGACTGGAATCCCATTGCTGGCATCCACCATCTCCCATCCCATCCCATCAACCAGCACCCACTGCCAACATCCATCATCTCCCATCCCATCCCATGGATCCCATGCCATCCCATCCCCATGACCAGCTCCCATCGTGTCCCCATGACCTCTCATCCCATCCCATCCCATCTCACGCCATTCCATTCCCATCACCCATCCCATCCCATGATCCCATGACCAGCACCCATCCTGTCCCCATCACCTCTCCATGACCAACACCCATGGTGTCTCATCCCATTCCATTCCCATGGCCAGCACCCATCACCTCCCATCCCATCCCATTCCTTTGCATCCCTGTGAGCAGCACCCACTGCCAGCACTCCCCATCTCCCACGGATCCATCCCATGGATCCATCCCATGGATCCCATCCTTACACCAATTTTCAGCAGAAGGTCAAAGCCCGCCCTTGATTTTGTCTGTGCTTAACTGCACCTCATTTATCAGGATAATTATCCCAATAAAACCTCCTGCTGGCCCATAAAATCCCATGATTTATGGCCTAATTCCAGCATGTGGGGTGGGCTGTGGGGTCGGGCAGGGAAGGGGAGACCACCACGGTGGGACCGGGAGCACGCCGCCGCCGCGGTTTTGGCAGCCGAGTTTCCCGGGATGTCTCCACCTGGAGCTGGAGAAGTTGGGGCTTTGATGAAGGAGGGCCCCGTTGAAGCCTCACACGGAGTTTTCCAGGCTCCGTGTCTGGCTTTGAGGGGCCTAATCCAGGGAACGGGGGGGAAATTCCCCCAGTCCAGAAGGTGAAAAGCTTCCAGCTGGATTCTCCCGAGGCGGCTCGGCTGCCAGCGCCAGCCCAGATGTGCACAGATGTGTCTGGGTTTGCAGCTGCAGACACGGCGGGGGGTGGGAGGGGGATGAATTCATGGAAAAAGAGAAAGTTGGGAGGCGGGGAGGGAAACAGCTCCGACAGGGAGAGCTCCGTGGGGCCCTCCTGTCCCTGCACGAGCCCAGACTGATCCAGGAGCGGCTGTGGGGAGGGGGAGGAAACTCCACAAATCCCGGCAAAAGCTACACTGAGACTGAGTGTGGAAAATGGCATTTTGGAGAGCGTGGCCTCGGGGTTGATCCCAGAACGGCTGCGAGGGTCTCGGGGCTGTTGGAGTAAAATTTGGGGTTTGGTGGTTTGTGGTTTTAGACTTTGCTTCCACGGAGATTCCCAAATCCAAGAGCAAAATGAAGAGCAGCTCCTAAAGCTGGAGAGAAGGGACCCTGATCCTGATGTCCCCGTGGAAAAGAGGCTGGGACTGGGATGTGGGAATTCTCGGAGAGGACTCTGCCCCGCAGTGACCCCGGCTCCGGGAAGGTCCCACCTGGAAGCCCTGGAGGCGTCACTGCGCTCCGGAGCTGGGCGGATCCCCAGGGCAAACACGGAGCTGGAGCTGCTCACCCAGGGCGGAGGTGCCACGTCCGCGGCACGGCACGGCCAGTCCCTTCCTGGCACAGGGATGTCACCGCAGAGTCCCCTCTGCCCTTGGGAATTTCATCCTGCTCTATCCCGGGGCTCCACAGCCGCAGAGGCACGGAGAGAGCCGGGATGCCATGGAATTCCATGGGAGGAATCCAGGGGAGCAGGGCTTGTTTAGTCTGGAAGGGAGGGCTGAGACGGCTGCACATTCCTGCAGGAGGGCCGGGGCAGGGAGAGGAACCAGCAGGAGTTGTGGGGAATCATTGAAAGGGAATTACTTCCAAAGGGAATGAAGGATTTTTGGCTGGTTTGCTGTCGGCTGCAGGATGAGGAGACACAGACTCAGCCCAGCAGACAATCCATGGGATTTCCTCTCCCTGTGCTCCACTGATACTTTTTTGCAGAAACTGTTTTTCCAGTTTCTCCCTGCTCGGGAAGGGCTGAATTCCCTCTGGATCCAATCAGCTTCAGAGGTCAGGGCTCAGCTGTAAATCCTGTGCCTAGAACTGAGCTGCTCCTTCCCTCCTCGGGGAGTGGGGCCAGCCTGGAGCTGGGAGAGATCCTGGGATCCATCAGATCCCATCCCATGGATCCCATCTGTAAATGTGTGAATCCTGTCCCTAAACCGAGCTGCTCCTTCCCTGCCAGGGGAGCAGGGCCAGCCTGGAGCTGGGAGAGATCCTGGGAGAGATCCTGGCATCCGTCAGATCCCATCCCATGGATCCCATCTGTAAATGTGTGAATCCTGTCCCTAAACCGAGCTGCTCCTTCCCTGCCAGGGGAGCGGGGTCAGCCTGGAGCTGGGATAGATCCTGGGAGAGATCCTGGCATCCGTCAGATCCCATCCCATGGATCCCATCTGTAAATGTGTGAATCCTGTCCCTAAACCGAGCTGCTCCTTCCCTGCCAGGGGAGCGGGGTCAGCCTGGAGCTGGGATTGCTGACTCTGGGAGATCCTGGCACCCATCATCTCCCATCCCATGGATCCCATCTGTAAATGTGTGAATCCTCTCCCTTAACCAAGCTGCTCCTTCCCTGCCAGGTCAGCCTGGAGCTGGGATTGCTCACCCTGGGAGATCCTGGCATCCATCAGATCCCATCCCACAGATCCCATCTGTAGATGTGTGAATCCTGTCCCTAAACCGAGCTGCTCCTTCCCTGCCAGGGGAGTGGGGCCAGCCTGGAGCTGGGATTGCTCTGCTGAGCTGCAGTGGAGCCTACACACCCCACACAAGGTCAGGCTGGAGGTTTTTGGGAAAACTGGGAAGACTGGATGGCTTTATCCTGGTACAACAACTCCCTGGAAGCTTCCTTGGGATGAGCCCAGCAGGATCCCCTTCCCAAGGATTGAACATCTACTAAATGAGGACCCTCCTGCCGATGTTTGGTCAGAAACCAGCACATCCCTCTGGGTGCCCTGGATGGCTCAAAATCCTGGCAGGGGCTCGGCGACCCTGGCAGGAAGCCAAAGCCACCTGGGAATTCCATCTCAACCCACGGAGCAAATTACCAACTCTGTATGAAGAATTACAAGTCACAAAGTTTAAGTAGCATAACAGTAGTTGTCAGAGAGTGAAAGATAAGAAATAATAAACAACCTTGAGAACAACAGCTGAAGACTTCTGACTCCTTCTTGGACAGCTGGGCTGGAAAAAGAGACTTTTAAAACACCTTGGGGTCATCACCACCAGGCAGAAAATCCTGAGATCTCCTCTGTGGGCGAGGAGAATCCCACTGCTCCCTTTCCCTGACAAACTGAGCAGAGTCCATGAACCCAGCTCTGTGCTGGACAGCAGAGCAGGACAGGGAGCTGTGACATTCCAGCTTGTCCTGCCTGGAAGAATCTTGTCCATGCAAGAATCATGGCAGGAGGAGAGGGGCTCCTCCTGGAGCCTCAGCTTGCAGAGATCTGTCTGTCCAGAGGCAGCTCCCGAGCACGGACACACCCCTCCCTCCCAGGCAGGACTCGGACCAGGCAGGAGAGGCCGTCAGGAATTTAATGGAGCTTGGCACTGGAAACTGTACAACATTTACAGAGAACCACACGCTGTGTCTATGTACACCCCTGCCCACTCCCAGAGCTCCCGGCCGGACACGGCACAGGCAACGACAATCCTTGGATGTGGAGTCACCAACAAGCTCCCCGAGCCTGCATTTCGGGATATGGCTCCCCAGTCCTGGATTTCAGGTGACAGGGATTGCAGGATCTCACTTCCCAAGCCTGGATTTAGGGATATGGCTCCCCAGTCCTGGATTTCAGGTGTCAGGGATTGCAGGATCTCAATCCCCAAGCCTGGATTTCAGGTGACAGGGATTGCAGGATCTCACTTCCCAAGCCTGGATTTCAGGATATTTCTCCCCAGTTCTGGATTTCAGGTGACAGGAAATAAAGGATCCCACTTCCCAATCCTGGATTTCAGGTGCTAGGGATTAGAGGATCCCAGTCCCCAGTCCTGGATATTGGGATATAGCTCCCCAGTCCTGGATTTCAGGTGACAGAACTGCAGGACCCCAGTCCCGGATCTCAGGTGACAGGGACTGCAGGATCCCACTCCCCATCCTGGATCTCAGGTGACAGGGACTGCAGGATCCCAGTCCTGGATTTCAGGTGACAGGGACTGCAGGATCCCAGTCCTGGATCTCAGGTGACAGGGACTGCAGGATCCCAGTCCTGGATTTCAGGTGACAGGGACTGCAGGACCCCACTCCCCATCCTGGATCTCAGGGACACCCCGCCGTGCTCAGAGCTGTCACCACTCTCCTTCCCACAACACCCTGCAGCGCCATTCCCAAGCCGGGTCTTTCCCTGGATTTTCCCTGATCTTTGGAGTGCTAGAAGATGGCAGTGCTGCCACCCTGAGTATTTACAACCACTCCTCCTCCTCTCCTCACACCTCCAACACTTCCTCTCCTCTACCTTTCTACCACATGCAAGAACCCCTTGGTTGCCTCCAAGTCCTGCTTCCCGTTGGGAAGCGTTTCATTTCCAAAAGGCAACAAAAACACGGAATCTACCTTCGCTCCCTGCTACCCCCTCTACTCACTGCTCCCCAACCCTTTACAACGTGCCTACAACCTTCCTACACCCTAGAGTAAAGCAGTTCTCTTTCAGTAGTGTCTCCCCCCAGCCCGTGGATTGCTCCGGGGTGATGTGAGGGACAGTTGGGATGTCACCCCTCGGAGCACGAAGGATCAAGTACTGGAAAGGAAATGCCAAGTCTGAGCAACAAAAATACAAAAATAAAAAATAAAAAAACCAATCAAAGGAAACAAAAAAAAAAAACCACCCCAAAATCCCAACCCCCAAACTTGAAACAAAACTAATAAAAAAATTAAATAGTTGGCAGGATACAAGAGTGAGACAGAGGAATGTACAAAGGACACACAGAGATCAAAGATTCCAGTAGGTGAATTGAGAACCTGTTGAACCTGGGGTCTGTTTTTGTAGGGTTTTTCCTTTGGGAACATGCAAATTTGCAGGAATTACCATAACCACACACCAGAGTGACTCCAGGTGTTGAGTCCTTTCAAGGACTTTTGCGGTGTTGATCAAAACCCCTGGTGCTGCCCAAAATTCCACTTTATTTTCCACCCTCTACCACAGCTGTGGAAAACTTCAGGAACCCAAATTTGCTCTTCAGATTTACCACGAGGGTTCTGGAAACCCCTCATGGATTCAAAGAGTAAAAACAGACCCCAGCTCAACAGTAACTGCACACCAGTAGCTGCCATTCCAACATAAACCCAGGATCTGATCCGCGGAGCGGCTCCCAAGGCGCTCCCGGCACAAAAATGTACAAAAATTATTTATAAATTAACAGTTTTCCCCCACCCCAGGGTGGCACCAGGGCTCCTTTCCCCCCTTACACCAGCGTTTCTTTCCGCTTCCCGCTGAGCTGCTTCTCCCTGGATTTCCTGTGCCCGGATGAGGTTCTGTGGGATCTCACCCCCCTGGCTCCCTCCGAGTCCAGCGCGGCCGCGCTCCCATCCAGCTCCATCTCGGATATTCCCGGCTGGGCTGGCACATTGGGCACAGAGGGGTTGTTCTCCTCGGACTCCTCGCTCAGCTCTGGCAGCTCCGTGAGCTCGGGGCTGGGAATGTTCCTCTGGAAGGGGGCGATGGCCGTGCGGATGCAGTTCACCCACTGCTGCTTGTGGAAGACGTCGTTGGCCTGCAGCGTGTGGGACTGGCCCGGGCTGGGCTCTTGGAAACGCACCCGGAAGATGTTTTTGGCTGGGGATAAAGGGAAAAGCACATCAGCTCCGAGTTGGTGTTTAGAGGTTCCATTGGTAGGTTTGAAATCCCAACAAACCCTCCCCCCAAATCCCCAGAATCCAGCAGGGAGACTGTGGGAACTCAGCACATCACTCCGGATGTCCAGAGCTACCGAGACAACCCTTGGGGGGCTCGGAGGCCCTGCAATGTTGCCAAAAGTACCTGGTGGCTTGACTTTGATCCCTCTAAAGAAATGACACCTGAACGTGAGGAAATGAGAGAATTTCAGGCCCCCGGCAGGAGACAAAGATGTTTCCTAATCCAAGCCCCAGCTGGGAATTCATGGCCACCACGGGGCTGACTGCATCCGTACCTTTATCAGAGTTTCCAAAAGCTCCTCGGAAGGAGCCTCCCATTTTGACATCTCCATCCTGGAGGTCCTCAAGGAGCAGCTCCTGGACAGGGATGGGCTGGCGGTACACCTGGAACGCCTGGCGCTCGTTGCGGCTCACCGGCCGCGTCAGCACCAGGATTTCTTGGAAGAGGAAAACGTAGAGCTTCTGGAAGGGAAAACATTCCAGTATTCACTCTCCATTCCATGAGGTCACACATCCTGTGGGATTCAAGGCCACTTTATCTGCAGTTTCACCCACAGTAATTTTCAGAGTCTCCGGTGACAATGCCAAGGTCTGGCACACACCAGGATTACATCAGCAGCTTTATTATTTTATTGATCCCTAGAAAGGGAATGATGATTCCCAGATGCCCGGGATAGGATGATTAGGAGCCATATCTTTCCTGTGTGCATGGAATGCCTCGTGTGCAGGAGTTAAAGCAGCCAATTAAACAACACCACCAAGCCCAATCAACAGAGAAAACATGAGAAGATTTGAGGTTGAAGTCAGGACAAAAGGCAAAGCCCGGAGTGCAGGGGTGGGAGATAAACTCCAGGCCCAGCCCAAAGGCAAACAGGCTTTTGCAGGAACCCTTTTGTTTGAAGAGCCAGGGCTCCTAATGGGGAATGTCAGAGCATTACTGGGAAGTAAACAGTGGCAGGAAATCCCTCTGGATGGAGAGCACTTGCTGTGGGCATTCTGTGCTAATGATTTTCCAGCTTCCCAAAGGCAATTGTGGAGCTGTCAGCAGGAAACTTTCCCTTACACCCTGAAATGAGGCTGACAATTAAGGGATTTTCCTGTGCTCTTTTGTCCGATATCCAAACTATCCCTAAGGATGGAAGGCTCCCTGCTCTGAGTTTAAACCAGCTCTGAGGGAAGGTTTGAGAATTAATTAGTAAAAAAGAAGGGATTTACGTGTCCATTTTTATTCTTCAGCTCCCCGTGGCACAGTAAAGCTTTGCTGCCTTCAATCCTTGGATCCTTCTGCTTCTCATCCAGGTATTCCAGCTTGTCAATGTAGTACTGGCACTCAGACTCGCCCTTCTTCAGGTTGATGTCAGCGAGGACTCCTTGGATTATGGAGATCTAAAAACCCAAACAAATGATTAAGAGGGATTAACTTCTTCCCTGTGTGACCTCTGCTTGTGCTCCTTCACAACTCCAAAGGGTGCAATCCACATGGATTGATCCCTCACTTTCCCTGTCACTTTGTGCCCCTCAAGAAAACCCCCCTGGGGGAACTGCTGAGGGTTTAAGGAAGGTTTCTGGAGCTCCCACATCCCATCCCTGGGTCAGAAGAACCCAATCAGGATCACTCACAGCTTCCTCCAGGATGTGGATGTCGGGGTGGTCTTTGGGAGTGTGCCTCAGGATCTCCTTGAGGAGCAGGGGGTATTTGACCAGGCGGCTCCGAGGGATGTCCAGGAAGCTCCAGAGGTCCAGCTTGCGGCTGAAGGGAGACTCCAGGCAGCGCTGCAGGAAATCCTGCACTCTCCTGTCCTGCTTCTTCTGATCCAGGAGGGCTTTGGCTGCCAGCTGGTTGCTGCAGTAGCCTTTGTAGGCGTGGAGTCGGGGTAACTGCAGGGAACAGAGCAGATTTAGGAGTCAGATTCCCTGTGGGAAAAGCTGATGTCACTCACATGGCAAACTCACGGAGTTCTACAGCACTCACTGGGGTATTCTTCCCAATAAAAAGATAAAGGAGGATCTTGTGAGGAGGATGAGCACAGGGAGCCCATGAAGCTCCCAGTGTTTGGATGAGCACAGGGAGCCCATGAGGCTCCCAATGTTTGGATGAGCACAGGGAGCCCATGAAGCTCCCAGCGTTTGGATGAGCACAGGGAGCCCATGAGGCTCCTAATGTTTGGATGAGCACAGGGAGCCCATGAAGCTCCTAATGTTTGGATGAGCACACAGAGTCCATGAAGCTCCCAGTGTTTGGATGAGCACATGGAGCTCATGAAGCTCCCAATGTCTGGATGAGCACAGGGAGCCCATGAAGCTCCCAGTGTTTGGATGAGCACAGGGAGCCCATGAGGCTCCCAATGTCTGGATGAGCACACAGAGCCCATGAAGCTCCCAATGTTTGGATGAACACACAGAGCCCATGAAGCTCCCAGTGTTTGGATGAGCACAGGGAGCCCATGAAGCTCCCAGTGTTTGGATGAGCACAGGGAGCCCATGAAGCTCCCAGTGTTTGGGATTAGCAGGGATGACACTTCTGGAATCACACTGGGACAAGGAGTCCAGGAGACACAGACATTTCAACACTTAATAAGCAAATCATTCCAAGTCTCTGTGGTGAAACTGGGGCAAATTCCAGCTGACAGAATCCCATTGTTTTCAGCACTGCCAGGATTTCCCTTCCAGTCTTACAGTGATGGCCACAAAAGCCCCAGAGCTTTGCAGCTCCTGCCTTTAAATGTTCTCTAAGCTCAGTTTTAGCCTGTTGATTCCAAGTTCTGAACTCACCCATTTCACAAGGATAGGCCCAATCTGCTCCACTGTTCCATCTGGTTTTGTTGCTTCTCCCAAACTTGCCAGTAAGTCTGGAATGGAAATGGGGAAAGAGGAATTGCACCAATGCCTTCACAAGTAACAGGAGAAAGCAGAGAGGTGAAACCCCAGCAAGCACAAAGCACCCAGCTGCTTTTACCTTCATGCAGAGGAATGTAGGAATCCAAGTCCCCAAAAATGTGGGTGAGCTCCTCCTCAGACATGATGGAGAGTTTCAGCATGGGATCGTGGTAGGCCTGTCAAATAAAATATATTCAAACGTGCCTCAAAGCTGATGATTTAAACTGATTTATCAGGTGAAAGAAGTGAAGGCAGCAGAAAGAGTAACACTGATTTGATGCTGGAATATTTACTCTGTGTGAAGCATGGAGGACTGAAATGAAAAGCATTTTCCTGTCTGAACTATTCCCAGCTGGGAGAGGGAGTCCCCAAGCAGCCCTGCACAATCCTTTTATGGCTGGGTTTGCTGCAATCATACCAGTGCTGACGCCAGCTTTCTGGGCCAGCTTTCAAACTGGGGGTTCTGGGGCTGATAAAGCTCCCACGTCATGTTTGCAGGTGAAAAAAACCCCTCATTATTCCCTGGAATGTCGTCACTGAATGCAGGAAAAATCCCACTCACCTTTCTGGCCAGCTTCAGGTCTTCAATCAGGTCCTGCTCCCCCCTGGACATTTCATAGATGGCCTGGGAGGAAGGGGTAAAGCACCCAGAGTTATTTGGAATGCCAGCCTTGCTCAGAAAGAGCCTTTCAGCCCCCGTGATGTACAGCCTGCCCTGAACAGGCTTTGGCCACCCCAGTGCCTTGGTGGCACCTGGGCATGACAACCCCGAGGAAACCTGCTCTCCCAGCCCTGAGAAAGCAGCCTGGCTTCCAAGGGTGTGAAAGCCCTGCTGGCCCCTGCACGAGCCAAATTAAATACTAGAGCCTTTTAAATCACTGCTTTTTGCCAGGCAAGGCTGCAGACACAAAAGCCCCGAAACCGCAGAGGTCAAATCCCAGGCGGCTTCCGGCGGCTCCTGTGCCGTCTCCAGAAGATTTGTCCAAGAACTCCAGGAAAAAGGCAAGCCAAGGCCTTGCTGCTTGGCTTCCCACCAATTGTCAGGAGCTTTAGGAGAAAGACAGCTGGCTCTGCGAGGAACCTGAGGTTGGGGCAGCTGCAGAGCAGCCAGCGGGGCCGGGGCTGGGATTTCAGGAATGCCGTGGAAAGTTTGGCATCTCCGAAGGGTCACACTGGGGAGATGAATTCCAGAGTGGAATCCACCTTTTCCCATGGCTGATGCAGACATAAATCTTATGTTTAGGTGCACAGGAAGCTGCAGCCCCCCCAAAGGCTGTTACTCCTTTCCCAGCAAGGGAAGGCACAAAAGGCTCAGCTGCTGTTCCCTGTTTTCCAGGGGCAGTTACCTCCTGGCGCTTGATTTCCTTGGTGCTCAGGGATTCTTTCGTGTTGACATCCAACATTTCAGACCAAAGGACGCTGTTCCTTCTCTTGGGGGGAGTAGGAGCAGCAGATCTGCTGCATGACTTCTGGGCACAGCCAGGGGATTTGCTGTCGCTGCGAAGGGTGAACGACTGCGGGGATTAAAAAGAACCATGAAAAACATTAAAAACAAACACGGAGAGCCAACATTTCAGGAGTGTTAGATTATCCATCTATTCATCCTCCTGGGTTATCCAGGGCAGGAAAACACACCCAGACACTTTTCCTCAGATAAAGGAAAGCTTTAATCAAGCTGCTGAGAAAGGCCAGAGCTTGGCAAGGCTTTCCATGCCCCTCTGCCTGCCCTGATCCGCTGGGGAGGAAGATGGGAAGGCAAAGCTTGGCTTTATTTCCAAGCTATGAGGAAGTAAATAAAGGAGGATCATAACTCTTGCTCTGAAGAGGTTAATGAGAAGCCACTTGAACTTTGCCCTGGTGTTTTGCAAGGTTTCTGAAGGGCAGACGTGCTGTTATCTGCAGGTGAGGGCACAGAGCTCCTTGGCACACACTCTGTGCCAGCGCTGGGCAGCAGGGTCAGCTCCCTCATGCTGCAGCACACGTGTGCCCGGGGCACTGGATCAGCTCTTTATCTGCAGCAGTTGATTTTGTTTACTGTTGAACCTGTTTGCACAGCACTTTACACCCGTGCTCTCCTGAGGGAGCATTTCCATCCCCAAGGCCCAGGAAAGTGCACACAGAGCTCCAAGAGACACCCCAGAACCCTGCTCCACCCCATTAACCAACCCCTTGCCCAAATCTCCAGGTTTTGCTCTGTTTTTACCTGGATTGTCTGCCCAAAGCGCCGAACTGCCCCATTTCTGACAGGAGAGATCAGGTTAGCCAGGGAGGTGACTCGTGCTAAAGGCCGGACCCGTTTGGTGCTTGGCTCCTGCAAAGCGAGCACAGAACAAATTGTCCTGGCTGTGCCTCCCTCGGAAACTTCTCAGGCAGCTTCCAAAAGCACAAACCCACTTAAGGAGTGGCAAACACAGCAAGGAGAGTGTTTGGAAGCAGCCATTCATCTTTCAAGGCTATAAATATTTGTCTGAACTTTAAGGCAGCAATTAAACTGCAGAGGTTTTTGCCCAGTGTTAAAAGAGGTGAGAGAACATCAGTGAGAATTCAAAATAGGGCTCCAGCAGGGACTGTTATGCTTTGAACAGAAATAGATTAAAGTGTTCTCTGACACTCTGTGGCAGCTAAAGACGGAGCTGGGATCTGCTTCTCCATTTTCTCATCTTTTCCTCTGGAGAAAGAATGTGTTTTTCCATTTTATTTTGGAGAGCAGGGCAGCAGTGGGGGCCCAGCAGAGCCTCGGCAGCTCCTTTAACACAACCACAAGCTGAACATTCCTGTGAGGGACACGCACACAGATAAAGCTGAAATCCCTCTGTTTGCAAAGTTTCCTCCTCCTCCTGCTCTCCCCCACCTCCTCAATGACTGCAATTTTTCTTACACGTTGTTTAGATTTGAAAGTTGGAGCTTCTGCTTTTCCCCACCGCTAATCCCTGCCGGGAGCTCAAGTCTGTCCTGACCCAAGCGCTGCCAAGAAAGAGGAAACGCCCCTGGAAAGCTCCTGCTGCTTCAGTTTTGAAAATTCTGTTGGCAACTCGACGTGTTGGACATCAAAAACATTGTGTGGTGAGGGCTGGGCAGGAAAGGTGTGCACAGGGAAGAGATGGGCCCCGAGTTAAGGCCTGGAAAGGGCTGCAGGATTGTCCTGGTGCTCCCAAACATCTGGCACGGGGTTGGACGTGACTCATCCTCAGCACCAAGCTCAGATCAGGACAAGGAAGCACAACAGCCTCAATTTGGGTTCATCTCGGTTAAAACTGGTTAATTATTGCTGAATTTGTACTGTTCCAAAAGGCTGTGGAGGCTGCTGAGGACGAGCTCTGGGCTGTTTCCATTCCCAGCCCAAACGCTCTGCTCAGAAGTGACAAATGCTGAAAACAAAACCCAAAAAAAAAAAAGAGGAACAGGAACACCCAGAGCTGGATTCCAGTCATGAAGACTGAAGGAGCACAAAAGCTACGTGTGTGTAAGATCTGATTTCAGCAACTTGAGCCCAGCAGCAGCCCTGCCCACACGCGGCGTTGGGCAACGGAGGAGGAGGAGGAGGAGGAGGAGGTGAGCTCACCCTGAGCTCAGCCTTCAAACTTGCAGGGGGGAACATGAAAAGAAACAATTTATGAGCCGTGCAGGAAGAAAAGAGCTCTTGGCACAGCACAGGGCTGTGCTACAAGCGTTTGGGGAATGTCGGAGTTAGGAGGGCACCATAAAAATGGAGAAAAGCTGTGAAAGTGTCCTCGAGCACAGGATCCTCAGCTGGGTTTAAGGGGGACACCAGGAACTCCAAGGGGGGACACCAGGAACTCCAAGGGGGGACACCAGGAACTCCAAGGGGGGACACCAGGAACTCCAAGGGGGGACACCAGGAACTCCACCCAAGGGGGACACCAGGAACTCCTCCACTGAGCTCAGGACAGGGACAGCCAGGGAAAGTTAGGCCGGGCTCAAAGACAACAAGGAAGGTTTAATTTATTGCAGATGTTTCTGAGTAGAAGAAAAGGGAGGTGTTTACTTCTGGAAAGCGCAGGATAAATGCAGGATGGATAAATAAAGGGATGTGGCTTAGGGAAGCTAGGACTGAATCAGGGAAGATGCAAGCACAAAGCCACCCACGGCTCTGGCAAGGCCAGGGATAAAAATAACCTGGAAAAGCAAAATGTGACACTGCAAACGAAAAGCAAGAAACCTCCAACAGGTCAGTGGTGAGGGGTCAGCTCTGCAGAGATCCAGTGACAGTGTGGGAATGTGGGAATGCCTTCCCTGCACATCTGTGCCCGCCTGAAGTGACACGTGCACGTGCCCAAGGGCTGGCAGCAGGAATTCCTCAGTTCTGCTCAGCAAAAGGCCATTTTTCCTCTCTTAAAGGAGGAAAAAAAATTTAAAAAAAAAATCCCATTTGTGTCTGAGCGCTCCTCAGACACTCCCCGACTGCCAAAAAAACCCCATCTGGCTGTTCTTCTGGTTTGATGCAGAGCGGGGAGGAGGAGAATCAAACCCCCGCTTTTGGGAACTCCCCGGCCGGGCTGTGCTGAGCCCGGGGTCACGGACTGACTGCCCGCTGTAAGCCGAGCCCGCGGGCGGCTCCTGCTGCGGATAACTCGGGCTCAGGAGGGGCTTTTTTTAGCTCTCTACTTGCAAACAATGACTCTCCTGTCTCCACGCCGTCTTCCTTACAGGAGCCAGATTACAATAAAGTCTGGGAGGTTTCTGTAACCATCCAGGGGTGTTACAGCACTCGCAAATAATTAAAACCCCAGCGGGGTCAACAGCTCCATCAGGAAATATTATTTTTCCAGAGGACTCTTTATTAAAATTGAGTTAGTACATCACGGGAGCAGCCACTAAAGCTAATTTTGTGCCAGGCGAGATTTCACACCCCTGAAATTCCTTCAAGTGCTTCTAAGTGCAGGTTAACTCCTGAAAAGATTGCACCTTGCTGGAAAGAAAACCAGGCATTACTTTTGAGCAAGGGTTTGTTTTTTTTTTTTTCCCCAGCAGCACGCCCACAACCTTTCCCCTGTGCTGGGTAATAATTAGTGGTTTTTACGAGGATCCCTTGCTCGGGTGCAATTCCTACGTGCCGCACACGGCTCCACACAAGCACGGTGAGCAATGGCAAAACCACGCGTGACAGAAACTTTTCCTCCCGAGCCAATTCAGCAAAAAGGGGATTTTAGTCAGCAGCCTGAGTAATTCCTGCCAGAAATCATCAACCAGCTGACCACCCCCATGGAGGATTCACGCAGAGCCCCAGGATGGACAACCAGCCCATTCCCAAATCCAACAGCCCACTCCCAACCACACTGCGGCTCAGACAGAAGCGTTGGCTCACTGCAGAATTCAGAATTAGGGGCGGTTCACTCCCCTCCCAGAGCTCTGGTTTCTGTTACTTCTCCCCCAACATCTGGTTTCCCTTTTGCACAATGAGATTGCCCAAGTTTGGCTGTCGCAAAGCCGGGATTTGCTGAGCGCGGTGACTCGGCGCTGAGCCCTCAAACCCCAGCCATGTCTGGAGACGCCTTTTTTTTTTTTTGTTTTAACTTTTCCACCTCATCTCGCCACTAATCCGAGCAATAAACCCAGCCCAAGGCAGCCGGGCCCTACCTGGCTGCTGAACTTTTGCTCCTGTCGCAGCAGGAGGCTCGGGAACACCTACGAGGAGCGCAATTACTGCCATCAGCATAACAACACGCGATAAAAATAACAATACTTCCATCGGACACTCCAGCCCGCAGCAGGCCGACAAACCCCGCCAGGGGCTTCGCTAAGGTTTAATCGGCAAATAAGCACCTAATTAGGAAAAATCCTGTCAGTGCAAAGAGCGCTGAGAGATAGGCGATTTCATAATGGAATGAGGCGATTTTTAAATGAGAACAGGCGAATTTTTGATGAAAAGCCACCTGGGGGGAGCGGGGTCAGGTGAGGCACCGAGGCTGGTTTTGGCTCACGCTTTGGGGACTATGAGCTTAAATATGTATGTATCTGTAACGTATACAGACGTATATACATGTATATAAACCGTGTATATATATATTTATATAAATATATAGATATACACGGATTTAAACATATATACAGTCTATAAATCGCTGGGTGAGGCGACGACATTGGTTGTGGCTGCCTGGTCCCACTCTTTGGGGGCTATGAGCATAAACATATTATACATACATATATATATATACACACACACACACACAAAATATATGAACACACAGATATATATATATATATATATACACACACACACACAGAAAATATAAGAACACACACAGATGAACTTAAACATACAGATATATATATATATATATAGAGAGAGAAAGGTTTTTAAACCTTTGGCTACCCCGCGCTCTGCTCGGCTCGCCCCCTCCCCTCAGACGCAGAGAGCGGGAAGCTGAGGGCGCTCCCTCTCCTCACTCTCCCCTCAACTAAACCCCGTTTTTCCCCCTCTCCAGCCCCTGCTCCGCTCACCTCCTGCTCCCTGAAGTGCTGGTTCTGCGCGTCGATGACGCGGATAGTCCTTTTGATGGGCAGCAGCCCGCCGAGCTCGTCGTGCGCCACCATGGCCGCAGGACGCGCGACCCTCCCTCAGCCCGCGCTCATCGCGCTCTGCGCCCGGCGCGCGCCGCGCCCCGAACCCCACCGCAGGGGGCGGGGCCAGCACACACCACGCCCCCTTCGGAAGCCACGCCCCGCTCCATGCCCGGGGCACTGCGGACCCTCCCGGAGCCCCAAATCCTTCCAGAATTCCCCCAAAAAACCTCGGCTGAGCGAGCCCATCCATGGGGATCCATGGGCAGGGAGCTCCCCAGGGATGGAGCAGGCTGTGCAGGGCAGGGGACAGGGCTGAGGGAGCCCATCCATGGGGATCCATGGCCACGAGATCCCAAAGGATGGAGCAGGCTGTGCAGGGCAGGGGACAGGGCTGAGGGAGCCCATCCATGGGGATCCATGGCCAGGAGATCCCCAGGGATGGAGCAGGCTGTGCAGGGCAGGGGACAGGGCTGAGGGAGCCCATCCATGGGGATCCATGGGCAGGGAGCTCCCCAGGGATGGAGCAGCCTCTGCTCTGGGGCCAGAGGTGGCACCAGGGCAGGGACTGAGGCCAGGAATTCCCCCTGGATTTGGGCAGAACTGCTGCCCTGGGCAGTGCCCAGCCCAGAGGGGCTGGAGTCTCCTCCCTGGGCCATTCCAGAGGCACCTGGACACTGCCCTGTGCCCTGGGATGGCCCTGCTGGAGCAGGCACCCACTGGGGTCCTTCCCAACCTCACCCATCCTGGGATTCTGTGAAAAATCCAGGACCTCCAAGAGACTCTGCTGCTGCTCTCCCATCCCACAAAGCCAAGCATACATTTGTTTTTTTTCCCCCCATTTTTAGTGTTTTTTCCTGGCTGGACAACCTCCTTTTAACAGCAGCTCTCCTTGCCAGCGCCGGAGCATATAAAACCTTTGCTGCTTCAAAATGTTTAAAAAATAATAATTCTTGTCTAGACCTGTGCTTTTAAGTCTGCTGTGAGCTTTCAAGCTGTGCTGGCAGGGCTCTGGGGCTGGGCTGAGCCTCTGCCCTGCTCTCCCAGGGGAGCCTGTCTCGGCAGGCCCGGCTGGGGCTGCACAGCTCTGCATTTGCTGTTTGTTTGTTCAAGTGCTTTTTATTCCTGGCACTGCTGCAAATCTCAAATAAAAGCCTTCTTGTGCTGGTAAAAATAAACTGGAGTTGATTTGGCTGCCTACCTGTGCTGACAAGGAGAGAAATCTGGGGTGGGTTCCAGCAGGAGGTTTGCAAACAGGCAGGAGGAGGGGAAAAAGGAAAATCCTGCTGTCCCCTCCCCTGGATTTTTATTTTTTTGGCTTTGTTTGCTTGTCTCAGCAAATCTGCAGCCACTTAACCTCTGCCATGCAAGGCCAGGACATTGAGGATTCCCAGAAATTCAGGATACAGAGTCTCCCCTTGCTGAAGGGACAGACTGTGACTCTTCCAGACACAAAAATGCTTTCCTGGATTACCGAAATCCGCTATTTTTAACACCAAAGTGACGCTGACTCTGGGAGGAGCAGACAACCCCTCCCTTGAACTGATCTTTTTTTAGAGAGTAAAAAAATCCTAAAATCCAAGGTCCAAGCCTGGTTCAACTCGACCTAAAGATTCAGGAGCTCTTTCTTTGCAGGGAGATGGACAAAGTCCAACTAAAAGCAGGGGATGAAGAGCCAGAGCGAGGGGAGCTGTGAGCCAGAGTCACACCGAGGTGACACCTCCTGGTGTGTCCCGTGTCCCAGAGCTGCCACGGGTGATCCCTGGCTTTGTGGTGACCTTGGGCAGGTGACACCTCCTGGTGTGTGTGTCCCGTGTCCCAGAGCTCCTCCTGCTGCCCTCTGAGGCGTTTGGTGACACTTGGTGACGCAGGGGTTGCGTTGTCCTCGTGGTGCTGCCACGGGTGATCCCTGGCTTTGTGGTGACCTTGGGCAGGTGATGAACTCCTGGTGTGTCCCATGTCCCAGAGCTCCTCCTGCTGAGGTGTTTGGTGACACTTGGTGACGTGAGGGTTGCGTTGTCCTCGCGGTGCTGCCATGGGTGACCCCTGGCTTTGTGGTGACCTTGGGCAGGTGATGAACTCCTGGTGTGTCCCATGTCCCAGAGCTCCTCCTGCTGCCACGGGTGACCCCTGGCTTTGCGGTGACCTTGGGCAGGTAAGGAATTTGTGGTGACGCAAGGCCCGGGCAAGGTGACGGTGAGGAAACGTTCCTGGCCTGAGGGGACACAGCTCCTACGGCATTACCACTGTGAGGACGCCTGATCTCGTCTGATCTTGGAAGGGTGACCCCTGGCTTTGTGGTGACCTTGGGCAGGTGATGAACTCCTGGTGTGTCCCATGTCCCAGAGCTCCTCCTGCTGAGGTGTTTGGTGACACTTGGTGACGTGAGGGTTGCGTTGTCCTCGCGGTGCTGCCATGGGTGACCCCTGGCTTTGTGGTGACCTTGGGCAGGTGATGAACTCCTGGTGTGTCCCATGTCCCAGAGCTCCTCCTGCTGCCACGGGTGACCCCTGGCTTTGCGGTGACCTTGGGCAGGTGATGAACTCGTGGTGATGCAAGGCCCGGGCGAGGTGACTGAGGGGACACAGCTCCTACGGCATTACCACTGTGAGGACGCCTGAGATCTCGTCTGATCTTGGAAGCTAAGCAGGGTCGGGCCCGGTTAGTACTTGGATGGGAGACTTTTTTAGAGAGTAAAAAAATCCTAAAATCCAAGGTCCAAGCCTGGTTCAACTCGACCTAAAGATTCAGGAGCTCTTTCTTTGCAGGGAGATGGAAAAAGTCCAACTAAAAGCAGGGGATGAAGAGCCAGAGCGAGGGGAGCTGTGAGCCAGAGTCACACCGAGGTGACACCTCCTGGTGTGTCCCGTGTCCCAGAGCTGCCACGGGTGATCCCTGGCTTTGTGGTGACCTTGGGCAGGTGACACCTCCTGGTGTGTGTGTCCCGTGTCCCAGAGCTCCTCCTGCTGCCCTCTGAGGCGTTTGGTGACACTTGGTGACGCAGGGGTTGCGTTGTCCTCGTGGTGCTGCCACGGGTGACCCCTGGCTTTGTGGTGACCTTGGGCAGGTGATGAACTCCTGGTGTGTCCCATGTCCCAGAGCTCCTCCTGCTGCCATGGGTGACCCCTGGCTTTGCGGTGACCTTGGGCAGGTGATGAACTCGTGGTGATGCAAGGCCCGGGCGAGGTGACTGAGGGGACACAGCTCCTACGGCATTACCACCCTGAGAACGCCTGATCTCGTCTGATCTCGGAAGCTAAGCAGGGTCGAGCCTGGTTAGTACTTGGATGGGAGACCGCCTGGGAATGCCGGGTGCTGTAGGCACTTGGCCAATGGCACCTGGCCAGTACCAGGAATGGCGTGGCCAGCAGGAGCACGTGGCCAATGGCACCTGGCCAGTACCAGGAATGGCGTGGCCAGCAGGAGCACTTGGCCAATGGCACCTGGCCAGTACCAGGAATGGTGTGGCCAGCAGGAGCAGGGAGGTCATTCTTGCCCTGTACTCGGCCAAGGGAGATACAGGCTAGACTTGAGGAGGAAGTTTCTAGACTTAAGGAGGGAGTTTCTCGCAGAAAGAGGGGTCAAATACTGGAATCATCTGCCCAGGGAGGTGGTGGAGTCACCATCCCTGGATGTGTTTAAAGAAGACTGGATGTGGCACTTGGTGCCATGACCTAGCTGAGGTGTTAGAGCATGGGCTGGACTCGATGATCTTAAAGGTCCCTTCCAACCTAGAGATTCTGTGATTCTGTGATTCAGGGCTGGCTCTGGGCCGGGCACAGGGATTTGTGTCCTGGGAAATTCCCTGGCTGTGGAGAAAGGCCTGAGAGGCACCAGGTCCCTGAGAGGAGCAGGTCCCAGCTGGCCACTCTGGGGTGGGATGGTTTCTGGGGGCAGCTGCATCTGTACTGGTCATCAACAGCATTTTGGGGCAAAATCCATCCTGAGTGGTGGAGATGAGCACCACAAACCCATCCCGAGGGATGGGCATGATCATAAATCCATCCCAAGTGCACATGAGCACCATAAACCCATCCTGATGGACAGAGATCATCATCATAAATCCATCTTGAGGGATGGAGATGAGCACCATAAATCCATTCCAAGTGATGGAGACAAACACCACAAACCCATCTTGAGTGATGATCACCAAAATCCATCCTAAGGGATGGAGATGAGCACCATACACCCAACCCAAGTGATGGACATGGATATCATAAATCCATCCTAAATGACGCAAATAAGCACCAAAAATCCATCCTAAGTGGTGGAGATGAGCACCATAAACTCATCCCAAGGGATGGAGATGAGCACCACAAACCCATCCCAACGGTTGGAGATGAGCACCACAAACCCATCCCAAGGGATGGAGATGAGCACCACAAATCCATCCCAGGGGATGGACATGAGCACCATAAACCCATCCCAAGGGATGGAGATGAGCACCATAAACCCATCCCAAGGGATGGAGATGAGCACCATAACTCCATCCCAAGGGATGGAGATGATGACCATAAACCCAACCCAACTGATGGACATGACCACCACAAACCCATCCTAAGTGATGAAGACAAACACCAAAAATCCATCCCAAAGGATGGAGATGAGCACCATAAACCCATCCTAAGTGATGATCACCAAAAATCCATCCCCAGGGATGGCCACCACAAATCCATCCTAAGCGATGAAGACAAACACCACAAACCCATCCCAAGGGACGGAGATGAGCACCACAAACCCATCCCAACGGTTGGAGATGAGCACCACAAACCCATCCCAACGGTTGGAGATGAGCACCACAAACCCATCCCAACGGTTGGAGATGAGCACCACAAACCCATCCCAAGGGATGGAGATGAGCACCACAAATCCATCCCAGGGGATGGACATGAGCACCATAAACCCATCCCAAGGGATGGAGATGAGCACCATAAACCCATCCCAAGGGATGGAGATGAGCACCATAACTCCATCCCAAGGGATGGAGATGATGACCATAAACCCAACCCAACTGATGGACATGACCACCACAAACCCATCCTAAGTGATGAAGACAAACACCAAAAATCCATCCCAAAGGATGGAGATGAG